CCCCCCCCCATTTTACCCTGAAATTGTTTTAGCGGTCTCGATTGGCAACTGGGGGGTGGGGGTGGGGTGGATGTTGTTGGGGGTGTGCATGTGTGTGAAAAATGCCAGGATAGTCTGACACGTCTTGGTACCTTATGAAAGATTCCCAAAGGTGCTTTTTTTTTTTTCAGGAGGCAACTGGATTTTCTTGTTTGTTCTTTGAAGACGCTTCTTCAGCTTTGATTGGACGGTGGGGGAAATGGAAGGATTTACACTCCTTGCAGACAGCTGGTCATTTGCATCCTTTGGGAGAGTCGTTGAGGCCACCTGGAGGTTTATCTGTGTCCTCAGGGTCACCTGAGTGGTGCAAATGGGTGTGGAGCCTTCTTGGAACTACTGAAAGAACCGTGTTGTAGACAGGAGACGGATGATGTCAGATCCCTCCCCCTCTGTTGAGAGAGGGGAAGGTCAATTTTGATCTAGATGGCCTCTTGGACCCCTCTTTCAAACCAGCGGTCCTCTCTGTCCAAAATGTGGAGTTTGCTGCCTTTGAAAGATGGGTCTATCTATCTATCTATCTGTCTGTCTGTCTGTCTGTCTGTCTGTCTGTCTGTCTGTCTGTCTATCCATCCATCCATCCATCCATCCATCCATCCATCCATCCATCCATCCATCCATCCATCCATCCATCCATTCATCGAGTCCTTCCCAAGGACCTGGGATAGGCAGATGTGGATGTTTGATGGTATTACAGATCTCATCGCAGGATGGAAGCAGTTCCTAGTAAGGCCGCCTTTTGCAATTGACTAATGGTGAATTTGTCAATGCCGATGGTGTTCAAGTGGTGCTCCAGTTGTTTTGGGATTGCACCCAGGGCACCTATTACTATTGGTACCACCCTTGCTTGCTTTTGCCACAGTCTTTCTATTTCTATTTGTAGGTCTTTGTATTTTGTTGTTGTTGTTATTATTATTATTGTTATTGTTGTTATTATTATTATTATTATTATTATTACCTACCTATCCTATCCTATCCTGTCCATCTATCTACCTATCTATCATCTACCTACCTACCCACCCACCCACCCACCCACCCACCTACCTACCTACCTACCTACCTACCTACCTATCTATCTATCTATCTATCTATCTATCTATCTATCTATCTATCTATCTATCTATCATGCCTATCTACCTACCTACCTGTCAATCTCTCTCTCATCTACTTACCTGTCTGTCAATCTATCTATCCTATCTATCTGTCTGTCAGTCTATCTGTCTGTCATCTTTTTGTCTGTCTGGGTTTCTCTGGAGAAATTTACCTGTGTCTTCGGGGTCACCTGAGTGGTGCAAATGGGTGTGGAGCCTTCTTGGAGCTGCTGAAAGGACTGTGTTGTAGACTGGAGATAGAGGATGTCATATCCCTCCCCCTCTGTTGAGAGAGGGGGAGGTCAATTTTGATCTAGATGGCCTCTTGGCCCCCATCCATCTTTGGACAGCTGTGACCTGGATCTCCATAGACACTTATGAAAGAGTGTTTCTCAACCTTGGCTGTTAGAAGACGGGTGGACTTCAATTCCCAGAATGCCCCAGGCAGCCATGGGAAGTTAAAGCCTACCCATGGTGGCTGAGGAATTCTTGGGGAATGAAGTTCGCCCATACCAGCTGGGGAATTGTGGGAGTTGAAGTCTACCCATGCCAGCTGGGGAATTCTGGGAGTTGAAGTCCACGCGTCGTCGAGAGCCTAATGTTCTATCCCAGCCTATTGCCGTCCTTGTTAGAGGCACAAGGACCAAACCCCTGCTGATGCAATAGGCTGGAGACTTTAAAACAAAACAAAATCCCTTTTATTTGGGTGACAAACCTGTCAATAAGTCCAAAACACAAACAGCAAAACTCAAGTCCAAAAGAAGGAAATAGTCCACAGGAACACGTATCAAACAAGACGAACAGACCAGGATTCCAAGAAGCACTTTGCAAACGGTTGCCTTCAGTAACCAGCACCGCCCACACCTCCCCTTTTTATACAGCAGTCCCAGGGCGTTGCCTCTCATTGCCTTTTCCTTTTACTTTGGAGTTGTTGCATTGACTGCTGTTGTTTTTCTCTCGCTAATTGACGACGTCTGCGAGCATCAATTAGCACGTCCAGGTGTGAGTCTTCCGAATCTGACTCATGCTCCTCACACAGCTGAGCTTCATCAGAAACACGACTGGAGGGGCCAGGCTCTTCATCAAGCCGTGAGTCCTGTAATTCATCAGAGCCTCCCTCTGAGCCTGACGGCCCCTCAAAGGCCTCCTCCACCTCCTCCTCAGATTCCTCAGACTCAGCTGTTGGGAACACAGGCTGGCACAGAATCACAATACTATCCCGCACCGCAGGGCCCTTCCCCCGGGTCTGCCGATCCGGATGTGGTCGGGATGGGAATTGGTCATGAAAGGCGGTCACCAAAGCAGGAGCATGAACGGTGGTCGCATTCTCCCAGGTGAACTCCTCCGGTCGGTAACCTTTCCATTCAATCAGATACTGGAAGCGACCTTTCACCCAATGGGAGTCCCGAATGCTGGCAACCTCGTACTCAGGAGCACTGTCTCCATCACGTTGTTCTGGTGGGGGAGGTTCGGCTCGGCGGACTGGACACGCCGGTTGCTCAGGGACCAACAGAGAGCGGTGAAAGACCGGATGTACCCGCATGGAACGTGGCAGAGTTAAGTGATAGGCAACCGGATTGATGACAGCCTCGATGGGGAACGGTCCTACATATCGGTGGTCTAATTTTTTGACTGGCCGGGTTGACGGTAGGTTCCTGGTGGACAGCCATACCCGGTCTCCCACCGATAGTGGAGGTGTATCCCGCCTCGACCGATCAGCAAACCTTTTGTAGTCAGCCTTGGCCTTCTCCAACTGGCGCTGCACCAATCGATGGATTGCCTGTAACTCTGCCATGTAGTCGTTCGCTAGTGGTCCCGGTGCGTCTAATGGGGAAAGAGGGAAAAACCGAGGGTGATAGCCCATATTGGCTAAGAATGGGGTCATCTGCGTGGAGGTGTGCTGGGAGTTATTGAACGCAAACTCAGCCACCGCCAGATAGTCCACCCAATTGTTCTGCTGCTGATTGACATAGCAGTGCAGATAGAATGATAGATAGAAAAGGGAGAGAGAGATAAAGAGAAAGGAAGGGATGGATGAAAGAAGGAGAGAAGGAGAGAGGCAGGGATAAGAGAGATGGAAGGAAGGAAGGAAGGGATGAACAACGGATAGAAAAAAAAGGGAAGATGACAGGAAAAGGACTTTATCTGATCTGAAGGGAGACCTGTCAGGCAAGGCCAACCCCCCTCTGAGCCCCCCTCAAAGACCCCCAGACCGGGTCTCCTTTCCACCTGCTGTGCTGCCCCCCACCATTCTCCAAGAGGCTCTCCAGCTCTTCTTCAGCTCCCCCCACCTTTTCCTCCCCCCCACCCTCCATTCCAGCTTCCTTCCCCCCTTCCCCACCCAGCCAGGCACCGCCACGCAGCATCTTGCGGTGTCGACAATATTGTTTTCCTCTTTATAGGCTCCGGAGGGAGCAATGGGGGGGGGGGTTTGAGAGATTTATTGCTGGGCTACAACTCTCCTTCCCTTCCTTCGGTGAGCCATCTGGAGCACCTGATCAGAAGCTGAGGCCCCCTCTCTTTGTCCCCTACCCACCCACCCACCCAGAAAGGCAAATTCAATCTCAGCCAGCTACGAGCCAAATCTATTTCACGCCTGCGAGGTGGAGGGGCGTTTGGCTGCCCGACTCACTCCGTGACCTTGATGGGGCATGTCGGAATGTGCCAAAGGAGTGCGCAAGCTTGTCTCTTTATAGTCGGATGGCTGGGGCTGCTCGGCTTGCCCAAAACGGCCGTGCCAATCTCTCTTGGCCCTAGTCAGCATGGGGCATCTGTGGTTAGAAGCAGAATAACAGAGTTGGAAGGGACCTTGG